CGGGCCACCTGGTGACCTCGCTGTGGTCTTCAGCCCACCGACTGCCCTCTGGCTATTGGTTTGCAGGGGAGCTGGGCCGCCTACTGGAGGAAAAGGAGTCTCTCATCAGCCAGCTGAGCCGGGGGAAGACCTCTGCTGCCCAGAGCATGGAAGAGCTTCGGAGGCAGCTGGAGGAGGAGAGCAAGGTGTGCAGGTCACCGACTACCATCGGTGTGGATGGGCCACAGGGCCTCTGACACGATACTGAACTCGTCAGTGTCCCCACAGGCCAAGAACGCACTGGCCCACGCTGTGCAGGCTCTGCGGCATGATTGTGAGCTCCTGCGGGAGCAGCATGAGGAGGACGCGGAGGCCCAGGCTGAGATGCAGCGGCTGCTGTCCAAGGCCAATGCTGAGGTGGCCCAGTGGAGGAGCAAGTACGAGGCTGATGCCATCCAGAGGACCGAGGAGCTGGAGGAAGCCAAGTGAGTTCCCACCTGGCCGTCTCCTGGACAGGTGACATCCACACCTCCAGCAGATTGTTAACAAAACAAAGTATCAAACAACCTCTCTTCTAAAATGGTCCTAATTGCCTGAGGGTCTAGTAAAGTCTTGGCGCTTGGACCCTCTCCCAGGCCCCATTCATTGTGGCAGTGCTCCCATTGCACTTTTCATGTGGCCTCAATCCTTCCTCAGTCCATGCTGGTTCCATCTCTCCCTCCCTCAGCCCACTTCCTGCAGCTTCTTACAAATGGGAAAGTTGTAGGAATGGGGGAGGAGGGGAGGAGTCAGAACACGGTGGCCAGAGGATCTTGCCCACCAACCATCAGCACACCCCTGTTCATTTAGGTGTTATGGTTGATTTGAAACTCTCAGTAGCGTTGAGGAGGTGTGACTGACACCATTATGACCAGCTAAGCCTAGAATATTTAGTATCTAGCCTTTGGCAGGAAAGGCCGTCCACCCTTGTGTTAAAGCGGAGATCGGGATTTTCTGAGCCCTGCTGGGGTCCTTCCTCCCTGGGCCTGGGCGGCACAGCCATGGCCCGTCCTGCTCCTGACCAGGAAGAAGCTGGCTCTGCGGCTGCAGGAGGCCGAGGAGGGAGTGGAGGCTGCACATGCCAAGTGCTCCTCCCTGGAGAAAGCTAAGCTGCGCCTGCAGACGGAGTCGGAGGACGTGACCCTCGAGCTGGAGAGGGCGACCTCAGCAGCAGCTGCGCTGGACAAGAAGCAGCGGCACCTGGAGCGGGCACTGGAGGAGCGGCGGCGTCAGGAGGAGGAGACGCAGCGGGAGCTGGAGGCAGCCCAGAGGGAGGCCCGAAGCCTGGGCACGGAGCTCTTCCGGCTGCGGCACAGCCATGAGGAGGCGCTCGAGGCCCTGGAGACTCTCAAGCGGGAGAACAAGAACCTGCAGGGTATGGCCTGCCCGGGCGTAAGGGTGCTGCTATGTGCGGGTGACCTTTCGACTCACCTAAGAGCCTTGGGGTCTAGAGTCTCCCAAGTCAGTCATGCTTAGGTAGCCATGTGCCACCCTGGAATTGTGCATGCATGGGGTGACCTAGGTTGGAGCACACCCATGAGGTGTCCACTCTGGTGCCCTGTCCACTCTGCAGAGGAAATCAGTGACCTCACGGACCAGGTCAGCCTCAGTGGGAAGAACATCCAGGAGCTGGAGAAAGCAAAGAAGGCACTGGAAGGAGAGAAGAGCGAGCTTCAGGCTGCCCTGGAGGAGGCGGAGGTCAGGGCTGCTGCAGGGGCGGGTTAGACGTGGCCCTCCCTCTCCTGATACAGGGCCACAGCCCCCAACCCACAGTGCTGACTGTCACCAACTGTGTCAACCAGGGAGCGCTGGAGCTGGAGGAGACCAAGACTCTCCGCATTCAGCTGGAGCTGTCTCAGGTCAAGGCTGAAGTAGACAGGAAGTTGGCAGAGAAGGACGAAGAGTGTGCTAACCTCAGGTACGGGGACCGGGCCAACCTGCCACTGCCACCATCAGGGCCTCACCCATCCTCCTGGGGTATCTACTCCACCACCTCATCCCCACGAGGACAGGCGGGCAGTTGTGCTTGCTGGATTACTGGCCCCCTTTCTGGAGTGTTCGTGAATGTGTGCTCCTGAGCGTCACTCTTGAACTTGCTATGAAGGGGCATCACAAGAGGCTTGAAAAGCCAGGGAGGGATGGGTCATTTCTTCTCAAGATGAATTCCCATCTCCCAAAAGTCTCCGGACTTTTAACAGCCATGGCCTTGCCTTCCTTCCTCAGGCGCAACCACCAGCGGGCAGTGGAGTCCTTGCAGGCCTCTCTGGATGCAGAGACCAGGGCCCGCAACGAGGCCCTGCGGCTCAAGAAGAAGATGGAGGGTGACCTCAATGATCTGGAGCTGCAGCTGGGCCACGCCACTCGGCAGGCCATGGAGGCACAGGCGGCAACGCGGCTGGTCCAGGCCCAGCTCAAAGAGGAGCAAGCAGGGCGTGATGAGGAACAGCGGCTGGCCGCCGAGCTCCGCGAGCAGGCACAGGCCTTGGAGCGAAGGACTGCACTGCTGGCCGCCGAGCTCGAGGAGCTGCGGGCCGCCCTGGAGCAGGGGGAGCGCAGCCGCCGGCTGGCAGAGCAGGAGCTGGTGGAGGCCACTGAGCGCCTCAACCTGCTGCATTCCCAGGTGGGAGCCCGAGATGAAGGTTCAAGGGATGGAGGGCTGTGGCCGGCGGGCTCTGAGGCTCTGCTTCCTTCCAGAACACAGGCCTCCTGAGCCAGAAAAAGAAGCTAGAGGTGGATCTGGCCCAGCTGAGTGGTGAGGTGGAGGAGGCGGCCCAGGAGAGACGAGAAGCAGAGGAGAAGGCCAAAAAGGCCATTACTGATGTAAGGCTGGGTTGGTACGGTAAGGGGCTAGAGACAAGAGCTCAAAGGGCCTTCCACGGGGACTGATCACCTCCTCCCTATGCCACCTTCTCCCCTCCAGGCAGCCATGATGGCCGAGGAGCTGAAGAAGGAGCAGGACACGTGCGCACACCTGGAACGCATGAAGAAGACGCTGGAGCAGACAGCGCGCGAGCTGCAGGCCCGGCTAGAAGAGGCCGAACAAGCAGCCCTCCGGGGTGGGAAGAAGCAGGTGCAGAAGCTGGAAGCCAAGGTATGGAAGGGCCCTCCCCAGATAGGGTAGGCCAGTCCAGGGGCAGGCGTGGGACTTCCAGCCCATTCCTGGCTCTCTGCAGGTGCGAGAGCTGGAGGCCGAGCTGGATGCGGAGCAAAAGAAGCATGCAGAGGCCCTCAAGGGCGTGCGGAAACATGAGCGCCATGTCAAAGAGCTTGCATACCAGGTGGGTGTCGGGGTCTACCTCTAGGTGCAGCCTGGTGCTGTCCTGGCCAGACCTGAATGCTCTCTTTGCCTGCTCAGGCTGAAGAGGACAGGAAAAACCTGGCTCGCATGCAGGACCTGGTGGACAAACTTCAGAGCAAGGTCAAGAGCTACAAGCGACAGTTTGAGGAGGCGGTAAGCAGTGGGGGCAGGACACCTTGGACCAGGTCCTGGTCAAGATGCCTGTGGTACTCAGCTTCAAGTGCTGGCTGTAGTGAACAGGGTCCCAGAGCATGGCCAGCAGTGGGCTCCACCTCTCTCTGGGCTCTGGTTTTTTGCAGGCAGTGGGGACTTTTCGGGAAGGCAGAGTGGCTCATTCACCTAGCTCTGGGCTCTACTATCTCAGCAGAGAGGCAGGTTTCTAGTAGCTCCAGTAGGAGAGCAGACATGGCACTGTGCATCCGAGCTCAGCTGTCCTCTGCTGGGCCAGGCCTACCTGGCACACAGCCACCACTGAGAAAATCTTACCTCTTTCCTGCTGTCTGTCTTGGGGGAGGGGAACAGTCAGTGGAAGGGATACCATCAGGCAGTGGTATCAGGAGCAGAGTTAAGAGTAGCACCAGCCTGCTGTGGGCATGATGTACAGGGACCAAAATAAGCACCTCAAGTTACTGCATGATAAACTGAGGTCCTGCTGTGCCACCAGGAACAGCAGGCCACTGCTAACCTGGCCAAGTACCGCAAGGCCCAGCATGAGCTGGACGATGCAGAGGAGCGGGCAGACATGGCAGAAACCCAGGCCAACAAGCTGCGTGCGCGCACTCGGGATGCCCTGGGCCCCAAGGTGAGTGGCAGGGAGTAGCACCCTTGTCTTTGGCAAAAGCTGGTGTGGGCATGGTATGAAGCTTACTCTAAGGCCATCCTTCGCCCCTTAGCACAAGGAGTGACAGCTGCACCACAGCCTTGCTCTGAAGAGAGATGTCAGCTCCTCCCCTGCCCACCTGGCCCCAGCTCCATCAAGCCCTGGCACATCTGGCCTGAAGACTCACTCCGCCTGCAGCTCCAGTGGGCTTCCCTCTCCTTTAGGGTTCAGGAGTCACCACAGTCCCAAGGACAAAAGTCAAGTCCACATCAATCATTTAAAATAAAGTTCTTTAATAGTTTCCATTTAATTGGTTTATTTGCTGTTAATAAATTGGCAACACAAGGAGGGGCCAAGGGTATGCTCCAGTCAGGCTCCTAAGTGTTTGGGCTCAGGCAGAAGACACTGCCTCGGGCATGGCATCACTACCCTATGCCCCAAGGCATGGCGGGAGGGGCCCTCCACTGCTAAGGTAAACCCCTAGGATCAACATAGCGGCCAATGAGCAAACAGAACCAGAGGAGCAAAAAGAAAACGAGGGTGGGCAAGGGGCAGGCCTGGGGGCAGGCGGCATTCTCTTCTCCCCCATCCCTGCCCAGGCTCAGAAGCCTTCACCTGGATCCAAAGGCCAGGGGAAGCTTGGCTCACAGATTGGGGGAGGGTGCCCCATCTCCTCCGCTCTCTAGGACTGACAGCTGAGACTCTGGGCAGGTGCTCAGACAGAGCTGTTTTGAAATGCCCCCTTACCTCTGCGTGACCCTGGGGTTCTGAAGGCAGGACGGACACACTGCCCCTGCCTTCATCACAGGGGGCTTGAGGGAACCGAGGCTCCTCAGTGACCGGGCCCTCGGGCTCTTAGGAAGCTCCCTCCCACCAAGCCTGCACGTGAAGACCTGGGGCAGGCAGAGAGCAGCAGGGAGGCAGGGAAGGGATGGGAGCAAGGCAGGGCGTGTGGCACAAGGACCCACGCTCACCCGCACTGGCCCAGCCCAGCAGCCTTCGGAGGCAAGGCTAAGGTCACTCCTCAGTGAAGTCTCTGTCTATGTCCATGAAGGGCTCCTCAATGTAGCTGACGAGGGCGGAGGGGGACTGGCGGTCAGGGTTCAACAGGATGGACACGGTCTCCTTCCAGTATGAGAAGCTGATGCAGGAGCTCTGGGCAAAAAGAGAAGAGCTGGGGTGGTGCCTGGTGGACCCTGACAACCCCTGAGGAGGGCTGGCTAAGAGGTCTGTGAGTCACATGTGAGGCCAGCGGTGCCCAGGGTCCATAAAGACACCCCATGAGGGACCCTGGGTCTCTGTTGGGTGCTCTTCCAACACCTACATGAGAGGGAGGACACTCACATTCTCTAGGCAGGTGCTGTCCTTGTCCTTGTGCAGGTAGTGCTGCTGCCAGAAGCGCAGCAGGTTGTGGAAGTTGTTGAGCAGGAAGCCTGGATACTTCTTGCTGTGTTCCATCCGCTGCAGCAGCCGCAGGTACAGGGGCAGACGTTCTTTCCGTCGCGCCAGCATCAGGATCACCAGGCTGGTGTTGAGGCAGCTGACATTCTCCTACAAGGCCACCGGGGGGGCCGGTGAGGCACATGCCAGCAGCCCTAGGGAGCTTAGGGAACCACTGAGCAAGGAGGACCACACCATCCAGGACCCTGACTGCATCAAGCAGCACTCACGAGCTGAGCCTGAGCCTGGACCAGGGGGAGGCATGATGCCAACACCAATAGCACCTCTTGCTTCCTACCATCACTCTGACCCCACCCTCACACCCTGCTAGAACCACCCTTGTCTCGTCAGCATCTACCAGGTCTCTGCTCCAGCACTACTTCCCCAGAAACCTACACCCTCTGGGCAGGACTGGGTACAGGTTGGATGCACTCATCTCCACCATTAGAAGGTGACATAAGGAGGGCAGTCTTAGCCTCTCATTCCTAAGACCTCAGAACATGCCTAATACATGAGGGACTAAGAACTATGGAAAGATACTTATAAGCTTGCCCCACTTCAGAAACGTGGAGAAGGGAAAGTGGCACAGTGTTTAGTGAAGGAGCTGGGAGTCAACCAGCAGGAGGGGCGGGAGAGCACTGGCCCAGGCATCAGAGGGACTCCGTGTCCATCTCAGTTCTGCCCTGCTCAGTCTGTGACTCCAGGAGATCTTCCTTGGGCCTCTCCACAGGATGAGACACTGACTCCTGTCTACAAGCCAAATGCTTACTGGGCAATCCTGAGATTAGCTGGGTGTTTCAGGAGATACATTGCTAAGGCTGGGTTAGAAACATTCTGTTGAATTTCAGGGTGAAGAACTTGTTTCCATCTGCCTTCCCTACACGTGCTGGCCATGGCCCTCACCTGGGTCAGTGTCTGCACGTGGATTATATTGATGAGGCGGAAGAGGAAGGACATCTGTGTGGGCACCTGGGATATGTAGGCGAGCAGGCGGCACTCAGACAGGACTTCGGCAACTGGGGACAGAGAGGCGGTGTTGTGAGCAGCAGGCTTTGAAGCAGGTCTGTGGCTCCACCCAGTGGCCTGGTCACCCAGGGCTCCAGCCAAGCCCTCTCTGGCCTCGACACACTGTCACAACAACCACAAAGCTGGTACACACTGTCACAACAACCACAAAGCTGGTAGCCACAGTGACAAAGGATCTCCAGTTGTTCTGCCACCTAGCTTGAGCTGTGTCCTCATAGAACCCCTCATCCAGAAGGCACTGCCATCTTTTCCTTCTTAATCACGCTCAGAGACACTGCTCCTTGAAACCCCAACCACTCCCTACTTTCACCTAGGCTGGCTACATACATTACATACAAGAGAGTTTCCATTAGAAACTGAAAAGTAGCTTTGTTCCGTCCTCACTGCTGTCGTGTCAGAACCAACTCACAGCTGACACTCCAGCAGGTTTTCAGAGGCAGTAAATCTCACAAGAGGAGAATAACCACCTTTCTCCCATGGAGCAGCTGGGGGATTTGAACTGTGTGCCTTTGGGTTGGCAACACAGCTCCTTACCATTAAGGTCACCGGAGCTCCCTTTAGAAAAGAATACAGTATTATATTTTAAAAAACCAAACCCAAACAATGTAAGTTTGGAGTTTGAGTCCCTGACATGGCAGGTTTGGCACATGGGCCTCATGTGCATCCACGCCCACACAGCACCTTATCTTGACCCTTGGGTATAGAACGCAGCTCCATCCAGTTGTTTCTAGCTCCATGCTAGAGAGCTGCTCAACACCAACTGCAGGACTGACAGACTGATCAACCTGCATCCTGGTTTCTTACCTTTCATGTCTACTTGGTTTTCAAATCGGTCCAGTGACAGAGTGACACAGCGCACCAGCATGTTGGAGTCAACCAGTGAACTGTTGATTTGCTTCAGGAACACCTGGAACTGGAGCAGACACTGAGCTGAAATGGGAGGTGGTATCTGCTGGCTGGGGATAGGCCTGTCCCCAGGGGCCAGGTCACCGAAGATAAGCAAGGTAAATGACTTGCCCTTACCACCCAGCAACTAAAAAGTACAACAAGGAGCTCAACCCAGATTTTCTGACACTTCCCATGTATTTCACTGAAAGGTGTTGGGACTCCTCTAATTTGTACTTCTGAGTTTGTCATGTGTATCCATGAGATTAATATAATTGTCTACAATGTAGGACAGGCTGTGCTGGGGCGAGGAGAGGACAGCATAATGCTACGACTGTTCTAGACTCTGGGGCAACAGCACATGTAGTTACTGTCCCTAGACCAAGTTCATCATAGCATCCCCCCGCCTGTCTCTCACCATGGCCAGGAGGGAGACCCCATCCCTGCCCGCTGGGGTCCCTAGCACACTGCCTCCAAACTGTTTTCACATTCTATCCCCCAACACTTATTCTTCCCCACAAGCAGCTTGATCTCTGGGGACATTTACTGGCACAAATATAACAAATGTTTGACGTTTCAACAATGCAGCAAACCCCATGGGGCCCTGGGATGGTCTTACCTTTGCATCAGTGTTAATGTATTTATTGAATCTCTTGAATGCATCAACATTGAACTTCATCAGTTCCCCCAGGAGGTCAAAGTAACTCTGGAGCACATCCCTTGACTTGCACTCGCTGTCCACAATGCAATACAGGATGTGCTGGGTGGGGAGAGGACAGAGTGATGCTACGAATACTGTTGGGCTCTAGGGCCAATAACAGAGTGGCTGCTGTCCCTGTGCTATGTTCATCTCAGCTGCTTCCTGCCTGCCTCTCACCAGGGCCAGGTCTGAGCCACTGCAGGCCTGGAGGTAGAGGGCATGGACTATGTGTCAGTAGAGTCTCACTGCTGACCCAGCACTTGTGGCTGCAGCCTGTGACCTACTCTGCAGCCATGAGGCGGCCCAGGCAGCTCCCAGCTGAGGGGGACTCCTCCAGATGTCAGCATCTGCCACTGCCTAAGCACTGAGGCCAACCTGTAAGAGCATAGGTACATTCTGACTTGATAGTTTGCCTTTGTGTTTATGAAGGAAATTAGAAAATATAGTTTACATCAAAACAATAAATTAGTATCAAGAATATTAATAACTCCTGGGTGTTTTCTGTATCAGTTAAACCCTTTCCAATAGTATCATTTTAATTTTCCTGATTCTACTGATTTGGATTAATTTATTAATTTTATAAAAAGATTACTTTCATGGGTTTGTTTCTTGCCTTTATCAGTTATTCTATTTTTAAAACCAATCACAGCTTTGGCCAGTTTGCTCCCTCATCTTTGGCGAATTTTACTTTTTCTGGAGGCCAGTTATTTCATTAATGGGAAATGAACTTTTAGTCAGTGTGAAAAATCCTCAGGGTCAAAGGCTGGGCTGGGTAACTTCAGACTCTAATCTTCCTCCCTAACCCCACCCCAGATCCCCAGTCACCCTTAAGCACCCCTGGGGAACCCACAGTTGGAAACCAAAGGGTAATACTAGAGCAATCTGTACGGCTATTTTAAAATAAAGATATTTGTCCACTCTGACAAACTAGGTCTCAGGTCAAGAAAGCTATGCAGAGGGTAGGGGAGAAAGGGACAGCCAGTACCCCGGCTCCTCAGGCCATTACCTCCAAAAGGCCTCGCTTCAGCAGGAACATCTGGTCTGCATAGGAGGTGGTCCCTCGGAGGAAACTCTCCACAGCCCGCGCTTGCCAAAACCTACGACCCAAATGTTGACCCCTGGCCCAGGCGGCTACAGCTGCCTCTTCTGGCCCATGCTTGTTTCCCAAGGGGCAGGGAGGTGTCTGCTGCCTTTTTATTTATTCACCAAACATTTACCGAACATATAGGCGTTTACTGGCACGAGGCATCAGATTAGCCATTGGGGACATAGCACTGAGCAAGATAGGGACCCCTATCCGCTAAGCTGAATAGTACAGCGTAACGTTCTAGTTTATTCTGCCTGAAAGAGGTTGCAGTAAGAGTAAAGGGAGAATCACAGGATGGACCCTGGTAAGTCATGTCCAAGAATTCTTGGCTTTGCCTTTCAGATCAGATAACATGAAAGAGAAAAAAAGGAATATATACGGGACCCAGATAGGCACGTGGACAAACCCTGACCTTAACCACCGATGTGTAGTCCTAGAGAAGAGGTGGCTGATGTGTGGCCCCAGAGGTCAGAACTGAGATTCATCTGGGGGAGCTTTGGAAAGACTGAGATGTTGGGGGTACATCTGGGTCAGAAGGCCACTGACAGCTCATACCCCATGTCCTGGTCAAATTCCTTCCTCACCTGCTGACCCCTGTGAATAACCTTGAAGACTCTTCCTACAGGAGTTTAAGGATCTTTTCTGGCACATGCTCATTCCCAAGAGGTGTGAAATGTTTGCTGTATTATTATTTACTCAACATTTCCTGAGCATCTAGACTCATTCTTTGCTTAGGCCCCACCATCCCCGAGTAAGGGGAAGACTGTCCTATGAACCAGAGCCCTGGGACAGATTCTGCCTGCGGTCCTTCCCACACTAGCTATTCTGTTTTTCACACCTGTCTCTTTTCCACACCTGGTGAGCTCCATGTATGCCTGGCCTCCTCATGAAACACACTGGTGGTCCACAGCAGATGCATGTGCAAGGCTACTAAGCCAGCATGAAGACACTCAAAACCCTTGAGTCAGACTTGAGGGGTGGAAGCTGGTGACTAAAGGAAGTACTTCTAACCGTGTAAGAAATCCCTGGCCCCTGGGCCACTTGGGGTGGCAGGTATTTTTTCCCTACACTCACCTAAAAGATGACTCGGCGGGCTCTTTCTTCATGACCTGCAGGAGGCGTGTTAATAAGCCCCTTTTCCCATCACACACCAAACTCCTGAAAAAAAAGACACACAAACTGGTGGCACCCCTTGGGTGAAGGACGATCACCTTGAACCCTGCAGGCTGGAGCACTCTGCTTGCCTGGGTGGGTGGGAAAATATGGGGAGATCTCCAAGTATGTAGGGGTTCCCTGCTCTATTCAGGCTAGAACCAAACAGCCAAGCACATTCCCATCCTTCTCATCTTTCCTTCCTAGGTTCACTGGCAAATGCTCCGAGGCCAAAACCACAACCAGTTAGACATGGCCAAGAACTTCTGGATGGAGTGTCGTTTAAACTCAAAGTGGGTTTGAAATAGGCCATGAGAGAACCTGCCAGATGGGGCAAAGTCAGTGGCAACAGGGTGATGCAGAGAATAGCCTGAAGTTTGGATAATTACTCACGCCTCCAGGCCTTGAGGCCCAAGAAGCAAAGGCAGAAGGGGAGGATGTAACTCGGGTCTCAGCATCAGGGCTCTGGGCCCAGGAAGAGGGAGTTGTTTCAAAAGAGCAGTTCTATGTTCATCCACTACAGACAGAAGTGCAGCCCTGGTCTGACTTCTTTTTTGTATAAACAGTTCATCTGCCTTAAAAAGGAAAAGGGAAAAAAATTGGGAAACTGCAGCTCCTGTTGCTGGATGAAGTCCCCCCAACCAACTCTGCTCCAGATGATGAAGTAGACACCCCAGGAATGTGCTGCATACAGAGTCCAGTGTCTAGAAAATGAATTTAACTCTCGGCAGAGGATGGGGAAATACTTCTGTTTGTCTTGCTTGATAAGCATGTCAGAAAAGGTGCTATGTGTGCAAGTGAGTAACACGGGGAGTGGACAGAGCCCAGGTGACCACTAGCAGTGGACCTCTGTTACCTTATCTACAAAGCAGAGACAAGGCATCACTCTTGGGGCTGCTGTGAGGCTCTACTGAGCTAATTCAGATGCTGCAGTCAGCACAGGCCCCATCAGTGTGCCTGCCTGTGCGTGGAGCTCACCTGTCAGTGTTGAGGACAGCCTCGACCTCGGGGATGTTTGCTTTGAGAGAGATGGCACTGAGTTCATTCAGCTCCTGGTTGTTGAGCAGCAGGTACTTGTTTCTGAAACAAATGGTTACAGCAGTAAAGGGCCAGCTCTGAGTTGCCATGTTAGCACTGCACTAGTACAAGGAGGCTCTGCCCATTTCCTTGGAAATATCTGAGACTCTACTGATGCCCTACCCCAAAGCCTTGTTTTTTCTGAGCTGGCATGTATCCATTATTTGCTCCCAGACATTCTCTATGGCCCCAACACCTACTTTCTACCTGCCACATTTATAAAGAAGATCCCTTTCAACATCTCCAGGCTGTCTTCATTGTTCCTACTAAACATTTCTACTTGATTTTTTAAAGGCACCTCTCAAAGGAAAGGAATTTCTCCAACTTAAATTTAAATGCAACTCAAGGTTTTACTCTACAAGCCTGACTGACCCTAGCCCAGCACTTGTACCCGCAGTAAGTCACATGAGGCAGAGGCCACAGAGGCCTTGGTGACACTCTCCTCACATGTGGCCTTTCATCACTGGAGTCACATGGGCTGTCCCAGCATTAGCACCTAACAGGCAACTGGAAAATGATCCTAAAGATGCTCCTACTGGAGATCAATTCCCCACACAGCACCTAGTGTCAGAAACGGGAATCTGCTTACAGCACTCCATTTAAAACATTTCCAGAGCTTCAAACCGTTAGAATAAAGTTCATGTCTAAACATAAGCTGGGCCACCAGCTACCTTTCAGGCCCCCTACTGACTTAAGTCCCCACACTCCTAATCTGGCCACTGGTCTGCTTCAACACCTCTGTGTGAGCTGTGGCTTATGATGAACAGTGTCCCTTGCCACCTTTTCATTTCACTCTATTAACTACTCCTGACCCTTTAGGTCTCAGCTAACATGTCACTTCTGACCACCGTCCAGCCAGGTCGGAACCCTTGCCAAATGTTCCCTCACAGAACCATGCTCCTTTCCGCTGTAGTATCTCTATTTTCAATGTGCTTCTTTATGTCCATCTCCTTTTGCACACTACAACCTTGGGCATTGGCTGTTTTCACTCAACATTGTAATCCTAGGGCCAGGCACGTATGTGCTTAGATTTATTACTTTGATAAAAGTGGAGAACACATGTCCTCAGGGGGAAAAGTACATATTCCATTTTTCAAAGAATTCACAAATCTCCTAGTGCCCGATGTCCTTTAGAAAGAGGCCTCTTCAAATGAGGAAGGTAACATATGGTAATAATGGAAATTGCAGAGGCTACATTTGTCCTTAGGCATGATCTGTTAGCTCAGACGACATTTTTAATACCATTAGAACTAATATTTAAAAATCACAACTTTTTTTCAATTTTTTGTTTCCCTTGGGACGCAACATCAGAAGTTATGCAGTAATGGGTCAGTTTCTAGCACACTAACAGTGCGCTGGAGCTAAGCAGAGGCTGCCCGAGTATTCCAGCAACATGGTCCCCACCATGGAAATGATCTCCCAACATCAAGATCAAGGATCACTGCCATGTATCCTCCCCTGCACTGTTTTCCTTATAGGAGAAGAGCTTTCATCTGTGTTTTCCTTTGCAAGTTGAAAAAGAAAATTAGAGGGCAAAATGTGTTCCAAAAAAATAGGAGAGAGCAGATTTTCTTGTGGAGATAAGGAATAAGTAAAATACTGTCTGGCAGCCTAGTGGTAAGGAGTTGAGCTGCCAGTTCAAAAGCACATGGTTCAAATCCACTAGCTGCTCTGTGAGAGAAAGATGGGCAATCTACTCCTGTGTGATTTACAGCCTCTGAAAAACTGTTGGAGAATCAGCTAAGAGTTAGTTAGTTCCATCTTGACAGCATGTAACCACCATCTCCCCACTCTGGCTATCTGAGTTTCTTGCATGGCCCCTGTGACCATCTGATCTGTCCATGCTGGCTCAGAGGCACACAGGGCTAAGAGATGTATCATCCCTAACAATATTAAAGAGCCAACAACTTCTGTACTTGTTTTCCAGAGTAGCTTCAAGGGCTAAGAGGAAGCTCAGTACAGTGTCAGGTAAATGGATGGGCTAGCCACACTTGGTGACACTGAGCTCTTACCAGCTCCCACAATCTCTTCCTGGGCTGAAGCCAGTGACAGGACAAGGAGAAAAGAGGCCTTTGAGAGATGATGCAACAACTCTCCTTCCAAAGATGCACTTGTACTTACTCGTGGTGGTCACTGAAACTCTGCAGAAGCCTCAAAAACTGTATCTTCAAGGTAATGTCCTGGAAGACATATAAATCCTCAGCGTTAAGACCACAGTCACGATGTTCCCCCAAATGACAAGGCAGATGCTCTGCGGAGAACCTGAAAGGTCACTTAGCTCCTTTGAGCGTCTATCCTTATGCATATTGAGGACTTTTCTTTAAAAAACATTTGTCAGTTTGCACATCTGACCAAAACCACAGTAAATGAATATGGAATCCTTCCTGCTAAAACATATTCTGACATACTGGATAAAAAATAACAAAATTCTTCTAAATGTCAGGCTGAGCTCTTAAGAAGAAATGGATGCCCATAGGATCAGAAATGAAGAAAGGAGCAGGGAGCACAGGAAGTGATGCAGCAGCGCTGGGAGGAGGGTTAGAGTGGGAATGAAACCAACTCAAGTCAACCCTACAGGCCTAAACAGTGCTTTAGGTCTGCATAGTACTTGGGAGCTTATCAATTTTTGTCAAAAAATGGTTAAAACTGTGTCCACCAGCCCAGGGAGCTGACAGAGAAACACTTGCTGGTGGATGGAGAAGAGCTGTCTATTAGACACAGAAACCCTAAGCTCACCCCATCAGAGAGGGAGGGACAAGATACTGAATTTAAATACCAGGCTTGGCCAGCTGCCCTCTCTAAACCACCCGGCAGAAGTGAAAATAAATGCACTCCATAGAATTACTTCCAGGACCCAAACTACCCAGGTCCTCACTGGGTTTCATAAACATCACCAAATATGAAGCAACACTCTTAAGTCTCAACTAAAAGCATTAGTATTCTATGAGCAATCTCACAGAGATCAGAAAAAAAGCATGTAACAAATCATTAAAGGAACACAATCATTAGAAAAGAGGAGGACTGAAATATAATGAAGATCAAAACAGAACAAGACAAAATGCAAAACATATTCACTTGAAATGAAAAACTCCAATGGATGAGCTCAATGACAAATCTGACAAGATCCAACAGCAAATGCTAAGGCAGTAGACAGGGTGTCAAGGCAGAGTGCTATCTATTGGTGGCTATGCAGTACTTGCAGGTCCCAGTGCACTTCTGCTTAGCATGATGGGGAAGGTGGTCAGCAGGGTAAGAGCACATTATCCTCCTTTGACAAGAAAAGAGAGGCTCTGAGCTTACTGACTCCCAGTTCAGTGTTTCCTCTGGGGTAAAGGTAAAAGTTCTTCACCTTTAAAAAAATAAAGCACCCAAAAGCTCTTTTTCAGTGCAGATCATTGACAGCATGTGGTTCCAGAAAGAAAAATGATTAGCATTAGACAGGGCTGAGCACAACAGCACTTGCTGTTATGTTAATGGGAGAACATGAGTTCCCTATGTCAGAGGGGCAAGGAGAGGCTAGCTGGGGATGCTCAGGCAGGATACTACAAAAGAGGTTTCTGCATACAGAGAGGAGTGGGCCAGGTCCTCCCCTAAGGTAATGTCCAATTTGGCAATGCTGTTTCCATTCACAACCCAAGGAATGAGAGCTGAAAGGGTTGACAGCTAGACTTGAAACTACAACTTGTGGTGAATAAAGCCCCATCTGTCCCAGGGCCCCTTTGCTCACCGGGCTACAGTCACAGTTCTGGTTATGACCATGGAGGACGAGGGCAGATGCGGAATGCTTCCTCCAAATCAGCTTGTCAAACAAATTATTGAGCCCTGGTATCAGCTTGAATTCTGCAATCATTCTGTGAACCTGGATGGGTAGGAAGGGGGAAAAGCAAAAACATTAAAACAGAAATGCAACTAACATCTCTGAAGGCCTTATGCTCAGCATGTACAACAACAATCTTTACGAAGAAGAAAGCAAATGAGTATAAAGTACTGAGGTTTAAAGAAGCATCCACACAGACACCACCTCTCAGCATCCCTCCAACTCCACATAAATACACTTTAAAACTCTGATCATTAATCTTACAAGAATCTCATGAATCGTACTGCAGAGTAGTGTCCTATCTTTAACTTTAGCACCATGTGCACAAACTTAAGCAAACTATATAATCTTTCTAGTTTGTTTCATTTTCAGTAAAATCAACCTACAAATCATACATCACACTGGAATAAAGTCTGAGAATAGGATTAAAATACTAAAAAACTAAACTTTAAATATGTGTGGAAAGAAATTTTTATAGTGAACCGACAGCGGGAAGAGAGCTCTGGTGGTGCAGTCCACAGGGCATTTGTGTGGTAACCCAAAGGTGGTGCTTCGAATCTACCGGAGGCTCCAGGGGAGAAAGATGCGCAAATTCCACTGAGGAGATTCAACACCCAGGAAAAGCTACAGGGGGGTCAGCTATGAGTCTGTTCTAACTCAACAGCAAATGAGAGTTTCTTGTTGTTGTTATGTGCCGTCGAGTCGTTTGCGACTCATAGTGACCCCATGTACAACAGCCCTAAACCCTGCTCTATCCTGTGCCAATCGCACTGCCTCTGACACACCTACTCCGATTACCCCAGTCACTGAAGCAATCCACCTCAAAGAGGGTCTTCCCCTCCTGCACCGTCCCTCCACTCTATCCAGCATGATGTCCCTCTCCAAAGACCTCTCTCTCCTTACAACATGTCCAAAGTATTGTCAGACGAAGCCCCAGAATCCTTGCCTCCAAGGAGTAGCCTGGTTTAACCCTCTCTAGGATGAATCTGTCTGTTTTCTTGGCAGTCCATGGTACGTACATTCAATACTCTTCTCCAGCACCACAGCTCAAAGGCATCAATTTTCCTTCTATCCTCCCTAGCCATTGTCCAGGATGCATAACAAGTGATTGCAAAGACCATGGCCTGTATCAGGCGCACCTTAGTCTCCAAAGAGAGGTTCTTAGGGTTTTGTTAATGTGGGAAAAACACTAAACGTAGGAGCCAAAAAGATTTAAAAAGTCAATTATGTGAGTTTTTAGTGTTGCGTTTGTTTTGTTTTTTTAACTCTGCATAGGAAGCCTCTCAAAAAGCAAATGCACAAACAAGTCCAATATGACAAAGTAGAGACTATACTGACAACACATACCAAAGCCGAAAAGCTACATCCCTTTATAAGAGGTAGACAACTTTTTTTTCAAAAAAAAGGTCATATACAAACACATAAAACTCTCACAGGAAAAAACCCCCAAACAAACCCAAGTAAAGTATAAAACAGACAAGACAAAGAAAATAGAAAAGGTTCTTAAACATATGAAAAGGGCTCAATTTCACTCCTTAGTACTAAGAGAGATTAAAATTACAGAGCATTCCTCAGTTGGTTTTTTTTTTCAAATTTGCAAAGAATAAAAAAAAAAGTTTTTAAAAACTCACTGAAGTTAGGGAACCAGATACCACTATAGGAGAGAGTATCAATCCAGCCTAAACTTATTTTTCTCAGGAGAGATCCATATGAATACTAGATGGGAGATATACAAGGTTATTTCTGCCAGCATACTATAACCTATACTGCTATCAATAGGACCAATTAAATAATATTACGGTATTTCTATTCAACAGGATAAATGGCAACAATAAAAAAACATCAAGGTCTTCCTGCAATGGGTGGAGTACCTGCCAATGTATTATATTAAAAGGATATACGGAAATCACAGGTAAATTAGCTGCTTCATAGGGAGAGAAGCTTCAATGATACCCCCTCATACCTTTATAAATGAAACAATGTAACAGTTTTATTATTAAAAAAGTTAACTACATAGCACCAGAACAAAACTATATTAATACTTTATGTTAGGGCTGATGTAAGCATAGTTAGAAAAGTTCTAAGCACAGCATGAATATTCAGTTATTTACCAAAAGGGACATGAAAGTTCAGCAAGACCATTATATGGAAGAAATTTGACCCTACCTCAAGTGTTCTAAGCCTAATTCCTGCTCATTTCAGTCCAAGTCTCCTTACTAGAAGTTGGGGGTTAATGGAGCTACTGACACAGTGAAGCCACCATGGGAAGCTCAGGGTCTGCAATAATTATTATCCATAGGGCCTGCTCTGCTGGTTATTTTCATTGAGTACGAGAGGGATGATGTTTCCAATCTTGTGAATTCCAACTTAGCCATGATGGGTCAGAGAACTTGTTCCAATACCCTCCCCCTTAGACCAGCAACTTCTTGAAGGCTTGTCCCCATGGCGTCTACACGTAGCAGAAACTGAGTGCATACTGTACAAAAGAAAATGTGTCAGAAAATAAAATTCCAGAGCTGGCTGACAGTATTTTCCCAAGAAAGCAAAGCTATCATCACTGAGTTAAAAGCCTACAACGATTCACAGAAATTTGGTAATAGGAGGCGTGGGGGCAGTGAATGGTTGTGGTGAAGTGACGAAAAGAAAAATGAGAGAATCTGTATTTAATCCTGCGTTTTCAATGCCTCGTAACACAGGGCACAGTCCTCGTCCTCTTTGTTCTTGGTTTTTCTAAGCATCAAGCGCAAAAAAAGTGCCATCACCTATTGAGTAACTTAGCAATTTAAATGTGAGTAACAATGAAGTGCATAAAACGGCTGAAGCATGTAACACATATAAGATAGCACCATCATCATTTTTGAAAACACATTCCATATTGCAGGAAAGGTACAACGGCTGTGGGTGGTTTGTACAACAAGCTCATCCCGGTTCTGGCTTCCAATACCAGTCATAATGCTAGTGACTCCCTGAAACTCTCCCCTAACTTCAGGTGCTGGTAATCCCCAGGACAACTAAAAGACACTACACAAAGCTAACTTGTTCAAGACTAAACTCATCTTCCTCCCTAAGCCCATTCCCTAATTACTCTCCTCAATCTTAGCCATTTCAATAAATTGCAAATCTATTCTCTCATTTACTTAAGCCAAAAACTTTGGGAGACATCCTTAAGCCCCTTTCCCCACCTCATACTCTACATACAAATCATCAAGGATTCCTATCTACCTCCAAAATATAGCTAGAATTTAACCATTTCTTACATCCATCATGCCAGTTCAAGTTGGTTCAATTATGACATGAATGTCTCCCAGGGGTCTCACCAGTCTTCCATAGAACAGTTAGGATGACTTCCCAATTTAATTCAGAATAAAAAACTAAAGTCCTTAAAATGGCCTGTACAAGTCTGACGTAATCTGGTCAGAGATTAACCCAGCCCTCAATCCATCCACTTGGCTTCCTCGCTGTTCCATCATCTCAACGAGTCTGCCCCTATAACTTCAAGGTACCTGCTTCCTCTATGTGGTGCACTCATGCAAACACTGATAGCCCTCTCTCATTTACATCAGGACACTAGTATGCTGAATGCCATCCTTTTAGTGAGTGTCTTCCCTGACGACCCACCCACTACCTCATCACTTTTCCAAAGTCTGCGCTATCCGCTACCCCTAGAGTAGTATTTTCCGTCATCTAAGTTCCATTCTGAAACACAAGGGGAGGCTATTAGTCAAAATCAACTTGATAGCAACTGTTTTTATTAAGTGCCATCAAATCACTTGTGAATCATAGTGACCCTATGTACAATAGCCCTAAACACTGCTCTATCCTGTGCCAACCTTAGTCTCTGAAACACTTACTCCCATTACCCCAGTCACTGAATCAATTCATCTCATAGAGGGTCATCCTCTCCTGCGCCGTCCCTCCATTCTCCCAAACAAGATGTCCCTCTCCAAGGACCAGTCCCTCCTTGTAACATGTCCAAAGTATGTTAGAGGGAGCCTCAGAATCCTTGCCTCCAAGGAGCAGCTCAGTTTCATCCTCTCCAGGAAAAATCTGTTGTTCTCTTAGCAGTCCACGGTATATTCAACACTCTTTTCCAATACTACAGCTCAAAGGCATCAATTCTCCTTCTATCATCCCAAGTCATTGTCCAGCTCTCTGATGCATAACAAGAAATGTGAAGACGATGGCCTGGATCAGGAGCACCTTAGTCTCCAGACTAGCATCGTTGCTCTTCTGGAGAGTTCCCTGACAGCTGACTTTTCCAGTGTAATTTGTCTTTTGATTTCCTGGCTGCTGGTACCAAGAGTGTTAATGGTTTTTATTTTTTAAAAAAAGCCACAAAAAACCCAAACACAAACCCACCATATATTTTTCTCAAGTGCTGGCTCCACAAGAATGTAAAACCCTATGAAGTCAAGATAATTTGTCTCTTTCTGGTACAACCACTGTGGAAAGCAGTATGGCGCTTTCTCAAAAAGTTGCAAATAGAGATACCATTTGACCCAGCAATTCCACTACTGGGAATATACCCCAGAGAAACCACAACTGACATCCAAGCATATACACACACACCCATGTTTATTTTGGCTTTGTCCACAATGGCTAGGAGTTGGAAACAACCTAAGTGCCCATCAACAAACAAATGGATAGAGAAGCTGTGGTATATTCACACAATGGAATACTATGCTGCATTGAAAAACAAGGAACTCATGCAATATTATTCAAAATGGGTGACCCTGGAGGACATTATGCTGAGTGAAGTATCTCAGTCACAAAAGGATAAATACTGCATGGTGCCACTGTCGTAAAACAGGACTGACCTTGGGGTTGGGGAGAGACTGAGAAAGATAGGTTCGGTAATGTATACTGCATTGAAACAGATGAGGGAGAAAACTGTTTAAAAGGGATATGTGATTAGGTATTTTTGTCATGACAGGAGTCCAGAGCAAAGGCTGCATAGTGGAGTGGACCTGGGGGAGGGTTTGTAAAACAATGAAAGAATTTTTCTTTTACTTTTCCAAGAGGGTAGTGTACTGGGGGGAGGGTTGGGAGGGGAGAAAAGTGCAACAATGAATGAATGGAAATCCAAAGTCTCTGGAAATTTTCATTGAAATGAATAATAAATTTTAAGAAAATTAAAAAAAAAAGATAATTTGTCTCTTTCGTAGACTGCCCTCTCTTAAACAATGCCTTATATAAACAGCTGGAAAAATCTAAAGTCCTTTCCAGTTCTCCAAATCTATGCATTAGCCATCTCTCCACTAGCTAGACCGCAATGAACAGTCACCTTGCAAATAATGTAGACATCATAGCATATTATTAACTGTTCTGTTTCATCTGAAAAACATTTGTACTTGGGCTTGAATTTGCACTTCACTATAGACCAGCTCCTTGACTAGAACCACCACTTTCTATGAATGTCTCCTCACTTGTCCACTACTTGTAAAACGGGTATGATTGTACCTACCTCAGAATCTTTGTGAGGACCATAGCTGGCTAGTCCCATATTTGAATCAACATAGTGCATACAGAATGCTGAGCTTTCAAGCCTCTTCTTCCACTAAGTAACCCCACTCCCTTCCCAGTTTGTTCCATCCCCAGGAGAAAAGAATTCCAGAGGTTTAACTAGCAGAGAAGTGGTGCACACTCCAAGAGAGACCCTTCTCTTGGAGGTTCTAGCTCTTCCAAGCTCAGTAAACCTCCAGCACATCTGGAGCTGCTCTGTTGTGGTTAAGTTTTCAAAACTTGACACAGCTCTGGGCTCTGTCTGACTACCTTAAAATCCTGGTATACCACCAGGTTGGCAACTCTTCCCCTGCTTTTACAAGGCTGACATTCTGCCAGACACACTGACCCTTTATTCTTCCTGTTATCCAGGTCAGGCAAAGTCGCTATGCCACCTACTCCCAATTACATATCAATGTTCTGTCTGGAAAGGCAATCTATAGCAAGCTATTATAGGAGGCGTTAAGAGCTCTAGAATTAGTCCTTTGTCCTTATATAGAAAATGGGAACAAGGGAAAGTACTCCTATGTTTTGCTAGGCCAGTGAGAATCATTTCCAAAGGTCAAATGGAGATCTTAAAACACTGTTGGCACTTAAGAAGTTGGTGCTCTTCGCTCCCTATCCTGAGATTTGGGGGAAGGACCCACCTGGTTCCGCTGACGCCCCATCAGTAGTACGCAGAGGACATAGAGCACTTCCAGTTTGTACATGATCTCATGCATAATCTTCATTGACTGGGGCAGCTGGGTCCTGGTTGAAGTGTGAGGCAGGCCATTCTCCTCAGAAGCCCCTGGGGGAGGGAACACAATGGAGGCTGAGATAGCCACCAGAGAGAGGTGAATTATAGCTTGTAACCAAACACATTTCTGCCTGTCAAACCTGCTCCAAGAGCCTTCAGACTGGGTCCTGGCCCCATAATAGACTCGGAAAGCTACAAAACTCCCAAGACCCCAGTAGCCAGACACACTTAGCAACTCAGAAAACCTGACTCTGCTGTTGATTCTATTTTATCTCATTGATATTAACAAAAGAATTCAGACAGAAGCAACACAGCAGCATAATCCATGCCTTCCTCCCACGTCCCTTTCTCCTGCCATAAGCACACTTCCCCTTAAAGTATCCTGGGATAGTCTGGTAGCAAAGTGTGCAGAATTCTCCTCCGGTCACAAATGATTCTCAGGTCTCCTAGTTTTTCTTTTTTTTAAGTTAGCAGGACTATTTGAAATGCTAAAGGCAAAGGAAAGTCTCCTTTCCTATCACAAGTAGCCATTTCCCTGAAGTATGGCCCGACAAATGGATTCTGCCATCTCTGCTGCCCCCTACTGGATTAATGATCTGGTGTTTGGTTTTAGGGGAAATGGTGTTCTAGGGTGGTACATACAGATAATGCCTGTGTATGAAAATTGGTTTAAGTCCACTTAGAAGAAACTGGTTACAAGCACAGTTCAACTCTGACAAGGGGCCATTGCAGGTTGACGCTAACACAATGGCAACTGGTCTGGTATGAGTAAAAAGAAATGTTTTTTCTTTTCTTCTAATACCTCTTTTCCTTTTATATAGGGAGCTGCTTCTTTCTTTTTAAAATTTTTTTTTAGCTGCTTCTTTCTTATAACGGCTCTTTTTTCTAATTATGAAAGTTTATATACTTTAAAAAAAAAGAGGAAGTTTAGTATTTTGAGGTCTTAGAGAACCAAACAATAATTAATGATTAGGGCAAAACACAAGTGAACAAAGAGAAAAGATGTAAAGTTTTTCACTAACTCACTAGAATCATGACTCAAGCTTTACCCTGTGACCTCTCAGTTAGACTTACTCTAAGGGTTTGGTCCAGTTAATTTCTCACACTGGCTAACCCCAGCATTAACCAAACAACTTGAAAAAAAAAATCCATCCATTCTTCTAGCACAGGCTGAAATGGACATACTTACTCTGTGGTTATAAGCATATCAGGTGGGAATTCTACTATTAATATGTTATGTTAGCGTATTATTTTACAGAACTGAAACACTGTACAGGAAAGAGTTGTGTAAATAAAATTTTTCAGGGTGATGTATGTTAAGAGTTTCTAAGAATTCTAAAAAAGAAACATTTTTCTCATTTATTTGTGTTCCCAGTTTGTTGAATTTTTAGCATGCAGAGGTACTGGATTTAGTAAAGTGTTTTCCCTATGTCTACAGCGAAATATATACTTGGACCAGGAGGCAGTTGTCAGAACACTGCATGGTTCAAAACTGTGAAGCCTGTATGCCAGGGATGTGTCTTATCTCCATTCCTTTTCAGATTATCCAGGAGGCTGGGCTCTGTAAGTGTAGCATCAAGATTGGTGGAAGATTCATCAACAATCTGAATTATGCAGATGACACAACCCTGCTTGCTGAAACTGAAGAGGACCTGACTTGCTTGCTGCAGACGGTCAAGGACTGCAGCCTTCCAATATGGATTGAGGCTCAATATCAAGAAGATAAAGATTCTCATCACTGGGCCAACTGGCAGCATCAGAGAGGGTGGTGAAGAGATTGAGATTGTTAATAGCTTTAGTATGCTTGGTTCCAGCAGCCGGGAAATTAAAAGACATATTGAGATGGGAAAGTCTGCTGTTAGGGACCTCTCCAGAGAACTGAAGAGCAATGGTGTCACTCAGGAGACTAAGGTGTGCCTGATAGAGGCCATGGTCTTTGCAATCACTTGCTATGCATCAGAGAGCTGGACAATGACTAGGGAGGACAGAAAGAATTGATGCCTTTGAGCTGTGGTGCTGGAGAAGAGTACTGAATATACCATGGACTGCTTAGAAAACGAACAGATTTATCCTGGAGGGGGTTAAACTGGGCTGCTCCTTAGAGGCAAGGATTCTGAAGCCTCATCTGACATACTTTGGACATGTTGCAAGGAGGGACCACTCCTTGGAAAGGGACGTCGTGCTTGGGAGGGTGAAGGAACAGTGCAGGAGAGGAAGACCCTCTATGAGGTGGACTGATTCAGTGACCAGAGTAATGGGGGTTGAGTGTGTCAGTGAGACCGGGATAGGACAGAACGGGGTTAGGGCTGTTGTACAAAGGGCCACTATGAGTCGTCGGTGACTCGATGGCACATAACAACAACAACAATTATTAAGATATACTTTTCAAGATAAAATGAAATCCCCAAACTAAAGAATCCTCCATTTCATATATACAAATTAGATTTGAAATCATGTAACTAGCAAGTCAAAGTAAAAATGAACCTGACTGGTACATATTCTGATTAGGAATATGGAAGCTGGATTTAAATGGTCAGTTTTGATGAATGCTTACTGCTATGGAAAACACTAGTCAAGGTGCCTCCAACTCACAACAGCCCCATATACAGGAGAGTAGAAATGTACTACTCCATCGGGCCTTTAAAAAGAATTTCTTCTTCTTGTGGCTGAGAACATACACAGATATAAATTTTTTTCATATAAAATCCAGTGACATTAATTGCATTCTTCGTTTGTGTGACCATTCTCATCCCATTCTGAGTTGTTTCCCTTTATTACCGTAAGTTCCTTTTGAAACACACAGAACTTTTCATTCTGATGAAGTCTAGTGTTCCTTGTCTCCTTTTTTTGTTTCTGCTTTTGGTGTACATCTAAAAATCTGCTGTCTAACCTAAAGTCATGAAAATATATACTTAAATATCCTTTAAAGAGTTTTTAAGTTTAGCGCCTACATCTAGGTCTTTGATTCTTTTAATTTATATGCAATATATTTATAAAATCGTTCATTCATTCATATACATTAGATTTTATATAATCAATTGCCATTACCTATTATTACACCCCAACGGCATCTTTTCAAGTCCCCATTAATGCTTTCCCATGCCTTTACTTCTCCCTCTACCCACCAAGCTCTGCTATCCAAGTGTTTTTTCCCCTTTAATTTCTGCAAAAAGTAGTAAATTAGAGACCCAATTTTCTTCTTTTACATGTGGACATCTAATGATGTGGTGCTATTTGTTGAAAAGACCATGTTTCTTCACTAAACTGTTCTGGAATCCTTGTAAAAAATCAACTGGCTATAAAACATGAAGACTTATTTCTGAACTTCTAATTCTACAAGTCTATTCTACTGATCTACATACCTCTCTATGCCAATAACATAGTTTTGATTACTGAAGTATATTAATAAATTTCTAACTTGAGAAGTATGAGTACTCTGTTCTTTTTTCAGGACTGTTTAGGCTATACGAGGTTTCTTGTTATTTCCTTATGAATTTTAGATAGGCCTGTCAATTCCTGCAAACTGTAACAAAATTATATTGCTATAAGAAGTGCAATTATTTTCTTAATTCCATGATTAGTTTGTTGAGGACTATAAAAATTATGTTATGTTCTGATTACATAGTTTATCATCTTATTGAAGTCATTAAATAATTTTTAATGGATTCCTTACGTTTTTTTAATTAGCATGCTTATGATCATCCAACAAGCAACTCGACGGCACATAACAACAACAACATGTCATCTATAGTCATTTCTTTTCTTAGATTCTTTTATTCCATACTTCTATTTACTGTTCTGGCTAGAAACTCTAACTACAATGCTGAATAGAAGGAAGAGGAGACTTTCTTCTGATCTCAGGAGGGAAACTTTCAATCCAAAAATCTAAAATCTAAAAGCACGCTTGCTTTGGTAGCACACATACTAAAACTGGAACGATAGAGAGATTAGCATGGCCCTTGCATAAGGATGACACACAAATTTGTAAAGTGCTCCTAATTTAAAAAACAAAACAACACACACATAACTAAAAACAAAAACAAAAATTCTATATTAGCAATGGGTATTCTGTAGCTGTCTAACCTCAATTTGAGATATGCCCTTCTATTCTTAGCTTGTTGGATTTTATTATGAAGGAGGGCTTAATTTTGTGAAATGCCTTTTCCATCTACTGATAGACAAAATTATGTATTGTACTGATAAAGTGTATTACATTGATTTTCTTAAGTTGCAAAACTTATTCATTCTTGGGATAAATCTAGAAATCGAAGTGGTTAAAATTCAGCTACAAACCAAAAGATCAGCTGGCAGTTGTAACCCACCAGCAGCTCCATGGGAGAAGATAAGGCAGTCTGTTTCTGTAAGGATTTAGTCTTGAAATGCTATGGACATCTACTCTGCGCATGAGGGTAGCTGAGTTTGGTAGGCTTGTTGGTTGGTTGGCAAACATCTCATTGGGTCACGGTATACAATCCTTTTCATATATTGCTAGATTTGGGTTGCTATTATTTGCTTAGGATTTTTGCATCTATTGTCATATTCTATACTCATTAGAAAATAGAATTGCAGTCTTCCACTCAGGGGATGCAGGAAACCCACCCCAAGTACCTTGACTGTGCTCAGATTCCTCATTGGCCACTCGCATCAGGGCATCCAGCACCAAAGCATTGTCGAGCCATGTGTACCACTCTTCTAACTCCTGAAGGAAGCTGGCTGTGCCTGTTGACTCTGACACTTTTCGAGTTGCCAGCTTGCAAAGCCGTTCGACAAAGCCAGGGATGCTAAGAAGGGCAGCTGCCAGGGAGAGATGGGGAGGTTTCAAATCAGAGACCAGCAAAACCAACCCTAAAGTCTTCACCAAGTAGTCTATGCCCCATGTAAATGACAGGAACTAGTCTTCCTCAGACAGCAACTAGTTACAGCTGCCATGTTAGAATACAAAATGTAAATAAAGCTATAGAAAGAAGTTAAATTGTTAGCAGGTACAGGAAAATAGCCACTGTTGTATCTAATGTGGGAATTTAGAATAATGTCCATGCTTTACATTTGTGTGTCTCTGAGCTAGCAAGCACATTTCTAGAAAATTACAATAAAACAATCAATGAAACAGTAATATATACAAAGACATGTGTAAAATGGTTCTCTTAAGATGTAATTTCTCTAACAAAAAGATGGCGACAACTAACCATTCATTAATAGCAGACTGATTAAAATACAACTCAATTCTACAATGAAACACAATGTAGACACTAAGAAAAACGGTTATGATTTTTTTTTTGGTATATGCATTTTTATGAATAGACTTAGAACATAGTGATAGTTTATATTTACGTCCAAAGCTTATTTCCAGGGAGCTCTGGTGGCATGGTCTTCAAAGAGTTGTCTTCAGGGTTAGAATCCACCAGACGCTCTGAGGAAGAAAGATGGGCAAACGCCTTCTATGCTATTTATAGCGTCTGAAAACCTGCTGGAGCGTCACCTCTGCGTTAGCTCCAATTAGATGGCAGTGAGTTGAGTTTAAGGGGGGAAAAAATGTAAATTATTAAACCACATAGGTCTATTTTCTTTAAAACAGAAAGATCAAAACCGGGGAGCTCTGGTGGCAAGGAGCTGCAACTATAATCCCAGAGGCACACGGTTCGAATCCACCAGATGCTCTGCCGGGAAAAGGAGGGACAATCTCCTCCTGTACCAGTCAGATCTGATTTGATGGTACACTCACACAAAAATAAAAAAAAATAAATAAAAAAAAAAGAAAGGTCAAAACCCACAGTTCTCAGAATGGTTCACATTTCAAAATAAAATCTTCAAAACTGGACCGTAAATAACATCACAATAAACAGAAGACAGACTGACATCAGGATTACATTTTACTTGTATCCACAATCAATGCTGTGGGCAAAGATTCATAAGACTAAAGAACAAAGATATCACTTTGAGAACTAAGGTATGTTGGATCCAAATCAAGATAATTTTCAGTCGCATCATATACACACTAAAGGCAGAAATTATTAAGGAAGAATGAAGAACTGATGTATTTGAACTATGGTGCTGGTGAAGAATACTGAACGTACCATGGAGTGTTAGAAGAATTAATAAATATGTGTTGGAGGAAATTCAGTCAGAACGCTCCTAAGAAGAAAGATTTCAGACTCTGGACATGATATCAAAACAAACTAGTTGCTGGATGAGCATTGCACTTGTAAAAGAGGTTCATCAAAAAAGAGGAAGATTGGGGGGGAATGCAACAATGAATGAATGGAAATCCAAAATCTCTGTAAAGGTTCATTAAAAATCATATTTTTTTTAAAGGAAGATGATCAGTGACACCAACGGGCTCCACCACAGCAGCCACAGGACCAGGCAGGGGTTTGGTCTGCTGTAGGTAGGGCTGCTGTAAGTTGGAAAAGACTCAACAACAATAAAGAATGAAAATATACACACCAGATAGTTACTCTGGTTGTTTTTAAATAAGAGAGAAATTAAATACTCCCATTAAAATAAGCTAATAATTTTCTTTTTCAGTAATAAACATATACCAACAAGACAAGCATTTTTTTTAAAAGGTAAACAAATTACTTCTATTTCTATCAACCTCATTTTACTTGTAATAATGAGCCAAGATGGAAAGAGAAATAATCAACTTTCAAAGAAAACATCTATATTAAAATTCTGCAGCCATAATTTAACCTTTTTAAAAGGTAAGGCAAGGGAGCTCTGGTGGCCTACTGGCAAGAAGCTGCACTGCAATCTCGACGGTGTACAGTTCGAATCCACCAGATGCTCTGCTGGAGAAGGAGGGGCAATCTACTCCTGTGCTTGTTTATTGTCAGGTGTTGTTGAGTTGACTACAGCTTACGGAAGCCCTAAGAACAACAGATCTGAACCTTTCTGTATTGTGCACAACAATCCTCACCATCTCCGACATTCTGGAGTCCATTCTTACAGTTACTGTGTCAATCCACCTTGTTGGGAGTCTTCATCTTTTTCACATTCTACCTTTCTCAGCATGTTATCTTTTTCCAAGGACTGGCCCTTATTGACAACATGTCCAAAGTACACAATATGAAGTCTCATCATCTATGCCTCTAAGGATTGTCTGGTTACACTACCTCCAAGACAGATCTGCTTACATATGCTTGAAATCACTTCTGTAGGACAAAAAAGGAAAGTAATGGTTGCCACAGAGGCAGGTCTCTCAGAATAGGAGAGGGGGAAAACTTTTTAGTGAGTCCTTTTTGAAACTGGATTTTTTTTTCTCCAGCCATGTAAATAAAAATTAATGAAGAACTATCATTTCATGATAGCAAGAAATTACTGTTAATTTTTTTAACATAGTAAAGGCACTGGAGTTTTCTCTTTAAATTGTCATCTTATAGAAATGTTGAAATATACACAACTAAACTATATAATTTCCAGGCTTTCTTGCTTCAGAATAATTCTGAGTGAGGTAGGGAGGAGCAGATGGGTACAGAGCTAAAACAAGATCAATGTCAAGTTGTAACTGTTGAAACTGGGGGATGAATACATAAAAGATCATTATATTCTTTCTGACAGAAAAATCATCAATGCCTTTAAATTGTGGTGCTGGAGAAGAAGAGTACAGACTGTTCCATGGACTATAAAAAGAACAAACACGTCTGTTTTGGAGCAAGTGTTAACAAATATGCTCTTTACAGGCACAGACAGTCAAACTCTGTCTCACTTATTTTGAGCATGCTGTCATGAGAGGACTGCCCATCTTTTTCCTGAAGAGCAGTTCATGGATTTGAACCATGTACCTTTGGGTGGGCAGTGTCACTCCTTAGCACTAAGCTACCAGAGTTCCCTCATAGTCAGTAGGAGTTATAATTAACTAGTCTGTAATAAGAATATTAAGACTTTATACTTTAAAAACAGTGCCCAAAATCAAAGATATCTGGATTTGGAGTTCCCTATCAGTGAATTAAAACACCCAAAAGACTTTTCATTCCCCAAAGACTCTGAGTAATGCTGAATTTACCCAAAGTCAACCCTTAAAAATAGTTGTATGAAGATAATGGATAAAAATAATCAGCCAACCCTGAAACCTACAGCATCGCTTTTCAGCAGGAAGTAGCTAAGAGTATACGCCATCCCCTTTTCCTTATGAATCAGGGTGAAGTCTCTCTCAGGGAGGAGGGATAGGGAATGGCAAAGGATACACTGACAAAGGAGATTAATCAGAACTGGCTTTGACAAGCACTATAGCAATGGGACAATTAAAACAGACTTTCGGGGGGGAGAAAAAGAGGAACGAACGGGGAGGGTAGAGAAAACAGTGCAACAATGAATGAATGGAAACCCAAAATCTCTGTAAATGTTCATTAAAATTAATAAAATTTAATTAAATAATCAACCAGAAACCTTAAATGAGAAGCTGTACAATCAACATTCTCAGTGCCGTGGTACACACAGGTATTGAATAGAGAATCTGCTGTGCCAGTGGTCCCTTTCTGAGCATAAATGGATAACTAATCTTTACTTCCATAGGGCTGCTCTGACAACAAAATATATTCTACATTAAAAAGCTGTCTGCCATACTTTAATTCCAAATTATTGCTGTGTCAGTTCTAACTGAAGGTGAACCCATGTTTCAGGGTAGACCTGCTTCACACAGTACCCAGGGGCTGTGTTTTCCAAAGCAAGTCATGCCTTTCTTATGAAGCACCTATTGGTGGCCTTGAACTACCAATTTTTCCATGAGCAACACATTAACTACACAGGGATTGCATCTGCAACAGAGCAGGAGCTGAACAAATGGTAGTTTTTGCCAGTGAATGAGTGAGAGTGAGACAGAGATAAAAAGCAAGCGCGCGCACGCGTGTGCGAATTTGCATTAGCTTTGATATATAATTCAGTTATGATTAGGCTTACATGGTTTTTTTAAAAAAATATATAATTTAGGGAGCTCTGGTGGCCTAGTGGCAAGATGCTGCACTGCAATCCCAGCGGTATGTGGTTTGAATCCAACAGATGCTCTGCTGGAGAAGGAGGGGCAATCTCCTCCTGTACCAGTCAGATCTGATTTGACAGTACAAACACACAAAAATAATAAAATAATATA